AGGGTAGATTTAGGCTAGATATCAGGAAGCGCTACTTCACGGTCAGGGCGGCTAGGATCTGGAACCAACTTCCAAGGGAAGTGGTGCTGGCTCCTACTCTGGGGGTCTTTAAGAGGAGTTTAGATGAACACCTTGCTGGGGTCATTTGACCCCAGTACTCTCTCCTGCCATGGCAGGTGGTTGGACTTGATGATCTACTCAGGTCTCTTCCGACCCTAGAAACTATGAAACTATAACCGTATCCAGAGCTATAGTAAATACTTAAAACAGCCAACCAAGCCCTCTTCTAAGGACCTCGTACTTCAGGGTTTATGGAAATCTCTTGAAAGCCATCAACTTAAACTTGTTGTTTTAAGATCGTCATCTAATTGCAGAATATACGTGCTAAGAAAGTAAAATACGGAGAAAAAGAGTGTAATCTTGGGGATCTTAAATATGGAATGAATTGTGAAAGTTTCTTATTGTGACAGAAAATGGAATATGTTTTTCTTAAGCTGTTAGATTCAACAGTTAAAATTATATATCTAATAATTTATTTTGTCAGCTGAATGCAAGTATTTTTTATTTAAATCTTTGTTTTGTGATAACCACCTTAATATGTTAATTAACATATTTTAATGCAATACTGAATTCCAGGCTCGTTTTTTGAATTTGATCAGTTTATGCAGTTTGGATTATTTAAATAGGTATGCTTATCTTCTGTGTGCAGGCTTATCAGTAACAGCAGAGCAAATAAATTCTCATGGTTCCACTGTACGGAAAACTGAAACTAGAGTTGAAGAGGCATTTCGGAACAAACAGAAAAGTGCCATGGCAGTTTGGCACAATTCTGCGAATAAATGTGCATGTGAGTACTTCAGATCAGATCATATTGTGTGGAAACTAGAACAGTATCTTAGACAGCAACGATCATGGATTTCATATACACCTAAAGTTTCTCTGTTTTTGGTTACAGTGATTCTTTAATGCTTCTCCTACAGAAAATTACTCCAACTGTGCAGCCGTTGTATCTTTAGGGGCATCCATTTTATGAATGCAAGAAACCTCTGCTGATGTAGCTATGAAAAAGTGGAAAATAGAATTTCAAAGTCTTTTTTGCAGTGCAAAAATACAAGCATCAGGATAATTGTAAAACTAAGGATTATTTTTCGGTGTAAAATAAACAGTTGTCTTCCTCAGGGGTTGGAATCCTCTTAACAAAGTGTTTAACTTAAGATTTTCTTGTTTGACATTTGTATGTAAATACATTTTTCTTGTGTTTGTTACCTACAACATATAAAGTGCTTTATGGTTGAAATTAGTAAATACGTTAACTTCAGGCTACACTTTGTCTCCTGGGATCCAGTTTTGAACAGTTTAAGTATTCATTATTGGAAGGTATTAGCCACTCTTAAATGAATGGAAAATGAAGATATCCAAAACCTTACAGAATCAGAACAGTAAAGTCCTTGGAGTACCAACATATTCTTTGTTATGCTTGCTAGTATGCAGCATCAGTTGCCTAAATGTGATGCAGTATAGTAAGGGGGGGCACTTAACTGTTCTAGAGAGGTGACTGAGGAGAGGAGCGTAGGAGGACAGTGGGAGAAATAAAATAATGTGACAGCAGCTCTGAGCAGGGAACTAGGGCTGTCTGAAAGGAGCAGGTTTCAGAAAAGGACTGATTTTCTTTTTAAAAAAAAAAAGTAATTTAGATTTTTAAATTTATGGAGAACGTTTATATGGATGAGAAATTGATTTGATTTATAATACAGAGGTGATTTTTGATCTTGGAGGTAGAATCATAGAAAAATCATTGAATTAGAAAATTAGGGATGGAAGGAAACTCAGGAGGTCTTCTAGTTTGACCCCTTGCTCAAGGAAGGATAATTAGTATCTAAACTATCCAGCACAAGTGTTTATTCTCAGAAATACAGCAAAAAGAACTGTTGTACAACTGCCAAGTGTATTGCCCCATAACACCAAGGACACCCTGACCTGCTGCAGGTGAGGCAGAGGGATGAAGGCATTGTGAATGTCCTTGCCACTACCTGGGCAAACAGTTTTAAAAAATATGCTTGGGAGATATAAGGAAGAGGACTGCAGTCCATGCTACAAAGGAAGGCAAAAACCCTTTATGGCAGGGGTGAGCAATGATTTTGGGCAGAATGCCAAAAACACCCCAGTCTCGACTTGTAAGATGTTGGTGTGCCAGGGGCAGATAGTGAGGTGGATGGACAGTGAGGTAGCTGTGAGGGGCCCAATCCTTGTTGTGGCAGCACAAACCAAGCCCCTTCCCCACCACCTGCCTGGAGGCACACAAACCTGCCGCTAGCAATGAGCCATGCTGGAGTTCTGCAGACCTTGGTGCAGCAGCTTGCAGCTTCCCCACCACCTGCTGCTGTGGGTGCATGTGTACCTCCAGGTGAATGGTGGGGAACGGGCTGGGGCTGTACTGCTACAATAAGGATCGGGCCCCTTTGCAACTCTCCTGTTGTCCACCCTGAGGCCAGTGGGCACCCACTTCCAGCAACGACTCAGGCTGGGGCTCTGGAAACTTCAGAGCAGCAGCTTGCAGCCTCCTGGCCACCTGCCACGGCTGGCCCGGGCTGTGGGCAGGCCCCTGCTGTTACCAGATTTTCCCATCACATTGGGGTGCTTATTTATTAGGGGTACATTTATGGGGTCTCTTGTGTTTCTGTGTGGAGCTGTATCTCTCCCTTCTGCAAGTCCTCACCCCCAATGGAGCTGTCTTGCAGGACTGTTTCCTTTGGGTTCCTCCAGCCACTAAATCAGTCAAATACATACACAGATTCATGTGGCACACCTGCCTGACCTGGCTGGGTTGATCAGCATGTACAGGCTGACACCCTTATGTGCCAGGAATCAGGTCGTTAAGGTAGCAATAAAATGCAGTCAGACACAAGCACACAGGTGAACAGAATACCTCTGAATTAGGCTGGGTGTCTAGCTGACACCCTCATGGGCCAGCATTCAGTTCAGCAGGGCACGTCTGAGCCAAACTAGGGTCAGTTGGCCTATACAAGCTGATCCCCTTATGCGTCTCAAACTCGGCACATCCCAGCTTTTGCTTTAACTGTTCTAGTCGTGGTAACCTCTTGCTGAACAGAGCCCACAGTATTTCTGGCCTTCACAAGGATCTTTGGCTTAGGTAAAAGAAGCATTGCTGCAGAGCAAGTGGAGAAGGGGAAGTAGAGAAGAAAAAAAATACACCCAGTTACCACCAGTTTGACTATAAAAGTTTTACTTATTGCTAAGTATATGAAATTTAGGATGGTACTAGTAGTAATAGCCATGCACGGACAAAACAAAAACAATTACAATATTATCCTGGTTTAATCGAATATTTGAGGAAGCCTAGCTCAAGCTTAAGTAAGAAAATTCAGGTTCAGAAAGCTATGCCTAGAGAGAGAAAGAAAGAGGGAGAGAGAGAGGGAGAAAGAGCGAGAGATCAGATCTCACTATTCCAAGGCACTCAGGTGTTTTGTTGACAGGCAAAGTTCCTAGCACAGTCCTTGAAGGTTAAACAGGCGATGGAAAGAGACCACCTGTTTATCGCAGCTTCTTGAGAACAACAGTGGATGGTGTCAGAGAGATTTCTCCCCCTTGAAGCACACTGTTTGCTGTCTTATAGCTTTCTTATACCCTTAGTCCAGCCTCTTCAAAGCATTCTTTTAATTGTGTAAATCAAGAGGGTCCCAAGCAGTAATTGATGGAGGACAGTCCTGTTTATATAACTGTTTTAATTTAAATGAATTACCTTTTTCAGTGACAAGGGGGGTTATCTGGTTTGGAACATCTCAAACCGATTAACAACCAGGGAAAACGTAAAGTTTTAAGGAGTAACCAGACACCTGGGAGCCAGCTTGAAATTACTATGAATATAGAAGATATACTGGAAGGGATACTGGATTATTTCTTCTCAGATGGCCTAGCTATGTTTACACTGTGAAGTCAGCATCACTGTTTTGTATTTTACCTGTTGTGAATAAGCTTTAGCTTGCCATGACTTTCAGATCTTACTGTAGTCTTTTAACAGACTTAAGGAGATAACTTGGAGTATTCATAAACTTTGTGGGGAGGACTTCCACCAGTCATCCCGGGAAAAGTATGACAGCATTTGTGGTCAGGGCTTCAATGGGCTGGACGTTGTGATGAGCCCTTAACCATTGTTCAAATGTTGCCCATACCTGCTCTGACTCGGTCTCTTGCCTCAGCATTCCCTAACCTGTCAACTGAGTTTTAGTCAATCAAGTTTAAATAAGCCTCCCATACTGGGACCGGGGAATGTACAGCCAGAGATGCCTATTAAAATTTTCTTCTGCTTAGTTCTGGTTAGGTGAGATTGTGGGGGGGAAGAAAAAGTCCTTTGCAAGTCCAGCAAGCTGGGTGCCAGGGTTCCCTCAAGAACATAGAGCTGACAGGTAACACTGCTGCCTGCCATGGAGTCCAGGCCGCTTGCAGCAGGCAGTGGGGAGGCTGCAAGCAGTTGCCTGTGGCAGGTGCATATACGCTTCTGGGCAGAAGGCTGGGGAGGTGCAGAGGGCCCGATCCTTATGGTGGTGCAACCCTAACCCCTTCCCTGCCTTTGTATGCCACACTTTGGCATGTGCTAGGGGTTGCTGACCCCTGCTCTCTGGTGATATGACCACAAGGTAAAATACCTTTTTGATCCCAAGTGTGGTGATTGATATGATCCTTAGCAGAAGAACAAGATTCTCTAACCAGGAACCTCTCGGGGGTTTTAGTCGCTGCAGGAGTATAAGCACATGTTCCCAGCTTTGGGGTGGGATGTTTTTGTTTTGTTATCACAAATTGGTGAGATATTTGGAAGGGGGATATGGCGAAATGTTTCTACTTAAGAAGTAGCCCATGTTGTCAAAGTTTGGCAAAATTTTACTTGGAAACATAGTATACTAATATCAAACAATAATATGTTTTGATTACATGAGACAAAAAGGTGCCTGGCTATCATTACACCTAAGACATGATTAATAGTTAATTGCATCTTAAGTAGAAATCTATTAATGCAGTTAATGGCACAATAAAACGTGGGACAAGTCACAAAGTTTATTACACAAACTATGCACCATAACTTTTGTGGTTGGTTCCCATCGTGCCTTAAATTGCATGTGTGCCTAGGCATCAGTTGATCGTTTGATGCCCAGGCACTCCCAAGTCTTGAGCGGGGCTGGTCTGGGGCCAGCAACGCCAGCCTCAGGGAGGGAGGGGAGGGGGCATCAGTCAAGGGCTGGGATCTGCAGTCAGCTGCCGCTTCCAGCCTTGGGGGGCGCATTGGAGTCCTTGACTTGGCTGCATTCCGGAGGCTGGGAGCATGGATCAGCCGACTGGCTTGGTACTTGCAGGTCCAGATGTGGTTGGGATTTGATCCCTGATTCCACAGTTGCACCTCATGCCATGCACATGTAGCATGAGAGGAAACATGATAGTTGGGATCGCGTATCAGATCCCATAGTGCCTTAATTGAATGTCTGCCTGGCAACAACATGTTCTTTCCAAGTAGCCATTTTAAGTCTTCCATCTTTTCTTGGTCAGGGTTCAAACTAAGTTCACTTTCTACTTTTATGATGTTTATATAGTTCTAATACAGGATTTGTGTATGCTGCAGTAACATCATTTTTCTGACTGACTTCATTTTCTAGGAATTTACTTTCAAACATTTGGCAAATAGCTGCCGGAATCATATGAAACATAATAATACACATGTATATAAAGCAAACTGTCAGCTTCTTCACTGGGGGATTGTATTGGTCTTTTTCTTCAGATATTTCAATGGCTTTTTACTGTTTTTAGGGAGACAGGGAAAGTAGAGTTTCACTGCTAATAAAATGGGGTTGGCAAATAGTTAGGAAGTTCTAGTTTATCAAATGCAGTTTTTCTTTCCAAGGATAACATTTTTGTATTTTTCTGTGTAAAGAGACGTATTATGTATATTACACAATATTGGGCCCTGCACTGACCCTGTTTTGCTGGGATCGGGTTCTGTGCTGCTCCCACCTGGCAGATGGACTCCGAGAGCCCCAAATGACATACCACTTGGGGTATACTAATTAATGCGTGGTACCTAATACAAGCATGTTAATTTTTGTTTTAGGAATGTACTTGTTTCTGATTGATTAGAACTCATGGGCTGTCTCTGTATTGATATAAATATTTTTGCTTTGTGTTAGATGACAGTGATAAAGACACCAAAGCCCAGTCTTAAGTTGCAACTTAAGATGATGAACCAGTCAGTGTATTATGTATTTATGTTGTAGGCAAGGCATAAATAGGGTATTCTGATATGATATCCTGAAAAATCATACCTGAAATTATCAACTGATTGCCGCAAGTGGTTTCAGATCAAGCCATTTATTATAGAGGTGCACTGATTTATGTGTCCATATCACATTGGCACTGATAAAAGGAAAATTGAAATTATTGGCAGTTGGCATTTTGTGGCTGGTGCAGCCAATGATGTCACTGATAAATGCTGTGTGTATGTGCACATGGCCAGGAATTCAGCCTGGCAGCTGGTAAGTTTGGGGGGGGGAGTGCAGATTGAGGCCTCTCTGGTGAGGGAGGGGTTGGGGCAGGAGCAGGCACTGCTCAGCCAGGAGGGTGGGGTGCAGAACTGAGCTGGGGATGTCTCAGCGTGCACTTCCAGAGGAGGCATGGGGGACATGTGCCCCCCGGGTTTGTGTGCGGGGTGAGGGCAGACTACTCGCTGCGGACTCGGGGCCAGGGGCTGCACTTGCCTCTTTCCAGTGGTGGCTGTGCTAGGCGTGGGGCAGGCAGTGGCAGCGCTGGGGGGAGGGAGGCTAAGAGGTGGGCTATGGCCACCCCAAAATTTGTTATAGTTCCCTTCCCTCCTTCCCTCCCCCCACCCCCTGTGCGCGCTGCCATCACCTGCCCTGCCCTGCCCTGCCCCTTCCTGCCCTGAGCACAGCCCCGGTCAAGCCCCCTCCTGGGAAAAGGCTGGTGTAATGCCAGACCCTGAACCCGCAGCAGGCAACTTGCCTTCACCCCACGCACAAATCTGAGGGGGCACATGTCTGCCCCAGGGGTGTGCACAGCAGCGGGGAACCAACCCCCTTTGACCCCCTGTGGCCTTTGGATGAGCCACCTGTGGCTCCATCCCACAGCCTATCCCACCCTA